TCTCTCTCTCTCTCTCTCTCTGTTTCTCTCTGTCTCTGTCTCTGTCTCTCTCTCTCTTTCTCTCTCATCCCTCTCACCTTCCCCCATCTCTTTCTCTCTCTCCTGTTCCCACCCCCTCTCTCTGTCCCTCTCTGTCTCTTTCCTGCCCTCACCCTCCCCTCTCTCTCTGTTTCTCTCCCACCACCACTTTGAAAACAAATGACAGATTGTCCTGGTTACTATGAGTTGTGAGCCTTGGGTCTTGAGTCTTCGCTTCCTCTGAAACACCAAGCTTATACTTAACAGGAGGCAAGAGCTGTTCCCAGGGCACCTTACAAGGAGGCGGGTCAGGCTGGCAACCAAAACTCACAAATCTTTAAGAGTTGGCCAAGTGGAGAGGTGAGACCTTGTTACTCCATGCATCTCAAAATTCAGCCAGGCACAGCAGTTAAGGAGGACAGTCAATGGCCAGTAGCTGTCACCATGATCAGTGGCACTTGCATGGCAAAGAATCTGAAGCCTCTTTCTCACAGTCCATGCAGGTATCCCTGGAGCTAATATCCATGCAGGAAGTTGAGGCACCAATTGCTTAAGATTCCTACATGAAGGTACATAAGGGTAGCAGTACTGGCAAAGAATGCACTGGCCTTGTTGTGAAACATTTTTTTATGTGTGGGGCTGGAAATTGAACCCAGGGTTGCATGCATGCCAGGCAAGCACTCTACCACTGAGCTCCATCCTCAGCACAGAAAAGAGATGTGTTTTCCCTGAACCATCATGTGATGTGTGCTTGTAATATTGTCAAACTGCAGCAATGATCAACTGGTAATACCAGAATTTTATTTTAGTAACACAAGCTGAGTTTTGGGTTTTATGGATGAATGTTTTCTCATAATTTTCTTATGATTGTATTTTGCCTTAAGAAAATTAGATTTATAAAAACCAGTGACTGTTATATAATATATATATATATATATATATATATATATATATATATGTGTGTGTGTGTGTGTGTGTGTGTATGTGTGTGTGTGTGTGTGTGTGTATTGCAAAAAGGACTTCCCATTAAAACCAAACCAAACCAAACAATATCTTACTTTAGGATAATTTTCAGCAGCTAGCTCCTCCCAAGCTCATTCAAAATAATCGTTTGGTTTAAAAAAAAATCTATTGAAATACAAGGTTCACAAATTCATGTTGATTTAAAGTAAAGGACTCCTGGGAAGATTGAAACTCACTAAATGACCAGGTGAAGTGGTGGATCTGGTGAGCTGCCTGTCTTTGTAAGAGACACAGGAGTTTAAAGATAGAATCAATATCTCACAATGTTGGATATAGGCTTGGGAGTGGCAGCTGGCTATGGTGGCCCAGAAGAGGCAGAACATGTGACATGTGGCATAGTGTGCTTTTTAGGGCCACAGTTATGACATGGGCATGGTGACCCTCTTAGATTTCAGTAGTCACCTGGAAATAAGGATCTAGAGCAGCGGTTCTCAACCTTTCTGGTAGGGTGGCCTTTAATACAGTCCCTCGTGGTGTGGTGACCGCCAACCATAAAATTATTTTCACTGCTACTTCAAAACTGTGATTTTGCCACTGTTGTGAGCCATAATGTAAACATGTGTTTTCTGATGGTTTTGGGTGACCCTATGAAAGGGGTCTTGCCCCCTAGGTTGAGAGCCTCTGATCTAAAAGGTAATTTTTCTTCTCTTGGCTTGTACCTGCTGAGGCAAAGGAGCCAGATCCTCCTACATACATATTCTCTTCCACTCAGTTTGTGCCCTTTGTTTTATAATTCTGATTTATAAGGTAGGTGATTGTACCCCAAAATCAAGAATTCTGGTGGGGGAGGAACTTGATGAACCTTCCCTCAGCTCACATGCTACATAGCAGTAATATCCTAACAGTATTTGTGAATCAGTCCCCCAAATGACAACTCTGGAGCAATGGCTTCCTCGGGGACATTTCCAAGCTATGAAGACACAGATGTAAGGGAGCCATGGTCTCTCTATCAGCTACTCCCACCAGGATTCAGCCCCCACAACACAGTTAGCTCCTCTGCCCAGGTCTCATTCTCATCCAGGGAAACATGCACAGAGGCAGCCGTCACAAGGTCTCCCAGCCAAAGACCCAATCAGGATCATGTCTCTCTTCCACGGGGCTCTGACAGCTTCTTCCAGTGCCCTTGTCGGGCACAGGCCATCCAAAGGGTAGCCGATCACCATGTCATTCTCATTTGATTTAAGAAGCATACAGAGGCGATGTCTAGTTTTTCAACTCCTGTTGGCTGGGTTTGAGATCAGTGAGATATTTCTGAACATGTGTATGATGAACACAGACATAGGTATATAATAACAGGAATCTGTTCGTGCATTGAGGCTCTCTGTGGATAACAGCAAAGCTGGAAAGGTTACGTGAAAGTACTTGAAATTGTACCATACTTCCTCACAGGTAAGGGCTTAGGAAACTATGTTCACGAGTGTGAGATGCTTCTCATGGCTGCCTTGCCTGAGAGCACAGGATGTCACATGAGCATCATTACCTCAGAGTTAAGCCAAAAGTTTGGCTAGAAATCACAAATTGTACAAAATCATACCAAGGCAAATTGAAAATCATAGAGGAATGGGCAGTGTAAACTTCTTGAAGTTTCCCTCTCATATAATTAAGGGGAAGAAGAGAAAGGCTGGGAACCCGGGGCCTGTGTGGAGGGCTGACTGACGCAGACCTATTTGCCTCTACGCAGGGGCGCACTGGCTTGGGGAACTGGGGGATTTGATCTGTGCTGTTCTGAAATGCACAATATAAAGGCTGATTTAATTTGACAGCAAAATAACACCAAGTCCCCAAAATAAAATTACCAAGATGTAAAACAGCGTCAAAACTCCAATTAAAACTAATGTCCTGGAAGCTTCTGGAGGAAGCCTGAAAGACTCCATCATGAGGCACAGGCATCAGTTCAAGCTGTACAGATTACTAAAATGTAACCCTCTGAAACTGCTCAGAGCCCAATATGACAAAAATAATCAGAGGAAAATAAGTGAATTTTCCCCCTTTTAAAAAAATGACTCATTCCAGTGACTATTTTACTGACTTAATGCAATGTTCCTTTGCAAGATCTAAAAAAAGAAAAAACAAAAACCACCACGTTTTTTTTTTAGGAGGGGGGGTCTCTCACAGAAAAGGCACCAGGTACAAGGGCCCATACGTGCTTGTGTTTTTGAACCAGAAACAAGTATTGACCATTTGTGCAACATTTAAAAGGGCTCTAGGCATGGTGATGTGTATTTACACTGTCCGTTGGGATGGCTGGCCCTGACCAGTTTTTGAATGCATCTGGATTCAAAAGTTCGCAGAACCATCCTGATGCTCAGTTCACACCCCATCCTTTTTCCTCAAGCCCCCCTCCCCAGTGATCCAGGTGTGCTTGCCACTCGTCACATAGTGATGAAGAGGTCAGGGGCGTGATCTTGCAGGGTGTCCCTGGTCAGGAGCAGTGTCACATATGGCTCTTCCCTGGTCAGTGTCATTTTACTGGATGAGGCAGTGCAGATTACTGCATCAAGTTGGAGCCCCTTGAGAGTGTACTGCTGGCCATCTTGACTCTTCCAGGTGACAGTGGGAAGAGGCCAAAGTCTGTCTGAGAGAAGCTGAAGAAGGTAAGGCTGGATCTGGGCATGGTGTTGGTTAGAGCTGGCTTGAAGGAATCTCAGATGGCTTTCAGAGTCTATGGATGTTTTATAGAGCTCAGTGCCCATTCCACTTGGTCATGCTGTCTCGGAGGATCCCCAGGCCTTGGCCGTGGCCACCATCTTTCTCTGGAGGCACATCATACCTCGATGACCAGTCTGTCTTCATCATCGCTGCTGGAGTCACTGAACTCTACCCGAGTCTGCTTTCTCATTCCTTCCAAACTCCTTTTTCGGAGGGATCTCAAGGGGGCTTCAGAGACTTCGGAGGGTTGCCCTTGGTCAGAAGGAGCCGTGACACTCTTGGGGGTAATTAACCCTTCAGTGTGACATGTCCTACTCTCACCCCCTAAAGCAGCAGACTGCATGGCCACTCCCCCATGTCCATATTGGCCCCAGGAAGGAAAATCTGCCTGGGGTCCTACTTCCTCCTGTTGTGAACTGGTTGAACTTGGGCCTGATGGCGGTATTTCTAAATGGGTTTCTCCAGGTGATATTTTGCCAGGTGAAGGTCTCCCTGGCAGAAGCGCCTGTGCTATGCTTTCTGGTATGGCTCGCCTATCTGGAGAGCTTTGTGCCGGAGCCTCCTCTGCATAGGACTCTGCACTGTGAACCTCCAGTGTTTTGTGTCCTGTTCGTGTCCCTGTAGAAACACAGGTGGCAGCCACAGAGGTAGCAATGTCATGGTGGGGAAATGTCCCTCTAGATCTAAAGGACGGAGGCGGCTCTGAAACATCTGGGGAGATGCTCAGGTTGGGAACTATGGAGACTTGTTCCTGGGAAGGCGGCAGTGGAGTCCCTGCGCGTCCAGCATCAAAACTCTTGCCCTGGAGCAGAGGATCTTCCTGAAACACTGCCAAGTATGCATTACATTGCAGAGATAGTCCTGAGCCATCAGCACACTCCTTCTCCAGAGAACAGTCATTATGCTCACGAGCAGATAGAGAAACATCCTACAATAAAGTGCAAAGGAAGAGAAGTGGGGGAAAGGTTAATTGGCATAAAGAAAACTGTGGTCAGAAACACAGTCCGCAATGAAAGCAAGGTCTTGAGGTCCTGATGACTCCTCCCTGAGTGTGAACCTCAATAGGATGCCCTCAATAAGTTTCCATTAATAACTAATCAGCACATTAACCTCAGCCAAGCTCCTGATTGATACAAAAGAGGTCTCTGCGTAAAGCCGAACAACTCTATTATCCAGCTGGTCCCACACTTCCTGTCTTCGCCTAGGGAGCTTTCACACTGCAGTAACACTCAACATGTGCTAGCCTCTTTCTTCTCGGGGGAATTAATTACACAGGCTTGGAGTTTTCAAGAAAACTTACCAACAGTTTCATAGCCAAAGCCGGCCAATTGTACGTGTGACACCTGACACAGACTCAGGTGTGTGTCAACCTTCCACCTGGCTCACACCAGGCTCTCTTGGTTGTTTTTCAGCATACGCCAGACTAGCTGACCCCAGAATTTTTAGAGGTTTTCTTATCTCCACCTCCCATCTTCCTATAGGAGTGCTGAGGTTACAGACCTTCAAGATATGCATCCAGCTTTGATTTGGGCACTAGGGATTTGAACTCCGGTCTTCACACTTGAATAGCAAGTGTTTTACTTACTGAGCCATATCCCAGCCCTAAAGTTATCTAATTTTTTAGTGTAGACTGTTTGGGAATGTTTTCTTGGTTGCTTTGTTTTGTTGTCTGGTTTTAGGTTCTGGGGAGCCCCAGAAAGAGACCAGGAAATTTTACCACATAGATAGTGATATGGAAATAAAGGCACAAGTCTAGTTGATGGGTAGATAACAGTGCCTCAGAATGGTGGTTCCCACCTTCAGAGTTGAACTGTCTCGTTCCAGGATGGTTTTTGAGCTTGTGTCAGGAGCGATGGGTTCTGAAGTCTCTTGGGAATCACGGTCCTTCTCTTTGTTCCCATGACCAACAGGCAAGTCTGTGCTGGCACAAGATGGCTCTCCCTGCAGATTTAGACCTGAAAGAGGGAACATGGTCTTTTTTTTTTATACATCTAGAATCATGAAGTGAGCCAAGAATGACTAGTAGGCTGTTTGAGTCTCCACAGTGAGCCTCAGCTCACACAATGTTTATAGGACTCTGGTTACTCCAATTCACACTTAGCAAACGCATTGTCCTCACTTCCTCCAAGGAAGGAAATGGTAAAACCAAGCTGCCAAGTTGATGACTCCATGACCATATACATTGTAAATAGTGTTCGTGGTGGTGTCTGTTCTCATCACAGAGCTACCCTCCAGCTAGGCTTCTTTGGGTTAACTTGAGATCACTTTGAGTCCCTTGGTCCTGAGCCAGGTTTAGAGCCAGGATTAGAGAACTTGCTAGACCACAGGTGAGAACACCTTAGTGATGACATGTCTTGGTCTCTACCAGAGTGCCAGGCGGCAGGGCTGAGGTGGGTACCTGGGGTGTTGTCATTTGCTGTGGCGGTTGTCTCCGTGTGGGAAAGGAAAAGACAGAATAACCTCTTAGACCTGCTCTCCCTTGGCCCCCCCTTCCTCTCTCTTCCATTTCCTCACAGAAACCCACAGTCAGGCCAAAAGAACCACGAGGTAATCCTTTCCAAGAAGGTAGACTGCATTATGAGATGAGCTGGAAAAAAAAAAACAAAACAAAACAAAACACTTTCTAGAATGCCTGGATCCCTGGAAGATGCACTGGGCACACCATCAAATCTGCTCTTATTTTGATTAAAGTTCTACATGCACAGAGTTTGAAAACCTCAAACATTTCTACTTATTAGGAAAGCTAGCAACCTGTCCACCCAGCCATCTTTTTCTTTCATTTTGGAGTCTTCTGAGATTCATCTCTCCCTCCTGTTTAGCTTACAGGCTAACTTAAGACCTCCCTCAAGGCCAGGAGAGAGTAGCTATTCCTCTAAAACCCTCCCTCCAAGACTTCAGCTCCCTTGCACACAGCACGCCTGTCCTGTCATGCTCATCCTCTTAACCTTCATATGCAGAGCCCTGACTCCATGCCTTGTTTAGGTGGCTAGTCTAAGCCAGGTGCACACCTGTCACAACTGAGCTGTGTTGAACATTGAGATTGCATTGCCTTTTTTAAACAAAATTGTCTTCCTCAGAGTTAATAAGTTTTGAAGTCCCCGACACTTCCTCTGTTTACCTTTCTACAGACATATTAAAACCATTCCCCAGACTCCCAAACTGTCTAATGCTTGATTTCTCTCTGGACAAGCTAAAGCTCATGCATTAAGCTTGTAGTAAATGTTATGGGTTCTCTATTCCCTTTTTAAAAAATGGAAGGAAGGAAGGAAGGAAGGAAGGGAGGGAGGGAGGGAGGGAGGAAGGAAGGAAGGGAGGGAGGGAGAGAGGGAAGGAAGGAAGAAAGGAAGGAAGGGGGAAGGAAGAGAACAAAAGAGGGAAGGAGGGAGAGAGGGGGAAGAATGAATGGGGAAAAGAAGAAAGAGAAAAATTATGATAATGATAATAATAATAATAATGATAATAATAAAAAAACAATTTGGCGGTCCTCACAGGTAGTTTTTCCACTGTAGGCCTCACTATTATAGGGTCACCTGGCTACATTGTCAAGTTAGAGACCTAAAACCAATGTTGAGTACAATGCTATGCACTTGTAAACCCTGCACCAGGGAAACTGAGGCAGAAGGATCACTGGGTCTTGCTTGCTGGCCAGTCTAGCCAAGTGAGTGAGCCCCAGGCAGGGCGGGGGGGGGGATGCTATCTGAAAATAAAGCAGGTCAATGGCACCTATGTCCTCTCCACACATGGTGTCACCTCCTCAATCCATCTCCTATGGGCATGGGTATCACAAACCCATTTGATGCCTAAATTTTCCTGGGCTTCTAAAAGCAAACAAAGTGTGTAGAAATATCTACCCCTTATATTTAAGCACAAAGATCTAAAAAGATCTCCCATCTCCACAGGTCAGCTGCTAGGTTTACTGTGTACACTAATCCTGAGCAAACCAGCTTTGAAAATGAACAGGGGAGCACAAAGGGTTAAAGAGTTGTGGGCTGCCCTCCCAGGCCGCCTGGGGGAGCGCGTGTGACAGTGCGGTGGTGATGGGGCAGCCAGCTGCTGGCACACCTCCTCTGGTCTCAGCAAAGCAGGTGATGCATTGCTCAAGAACCCAGAGACCCCACAACTGAGAGGAACCTGGTCCTCAAGGGACTCTGCTGTAACGGGGACAGGGGACCTGTGACGAGGGCAGGGACACGGAAGAGTGCAGGTGATTCAGGCGAAGCCACCAGACAGAGGGTAGAGATACGGCAGAGTGACAACTAGGAACTGCTATAGACAGAACAAGGTAATGGAGAACCCGGCCACAAAGGTGGGGAAACACTGGAGAGATGGTTAATGGCATTGGGAGTGATTGCACTGTCCACACGCCAAGGATATTCTAGAAGACGGAAGAACAAACACTAGGAAAGAATCTAGGGACGAAGGGACTGTAGTGAGGCCACTGACCCCAGTGTGGAAGGAGGGTGTGAGCAAAGGGGAAAAAGTAAAGGTAGGGTATCAACAGGGATTTTCATCTCAGAGTACAAATGCCTTCTGGGAAAGAGCTAATGTTTTCAGTGTGGGTCAACATTTGGTTTTTCAAAGATATATGTTGATGCCACCTGAAGACTGGCTTGGAAGGAGAAAAGCATCCGAGGTAGAAAGCCAGTTCCCAGGTCTCTAGGGTCTCCTGGGGGCCCAGATTCCATGTCTCAACCAGGAAGATGAACGTCAATGTGGAGAAAGTGGGTTGATTTGGGGTCTGCTTCTATCCTCACCAGGAAGCTGTCACAATGGCCGACATGTCTGGAGCTCCATGGTCTGCCAAGGACAGCCACTCACTCTTAAGTGGATCAAGCTTCATCCCCACAGTGACGAAATGACCAGGCAATTCATTCAATTTAATGAAGAAATAAAACCAATTAGTATAGAGAAAATAATCAGATTGGCCAAACGTCTTCCCAACAGGTTGTTTGGGTTTTTAAGCTTAAGCAGAAAGGTCGTGTGCACATTTGACTGATAACTTCTGGCTCATCTGAGAGAGCAAAGGAAGAAAATCTATTGATTTAATTTGCTTTCAACCCTACAGTCTACAGAGAAAAGTGAATTATCGCTAATAATTGTGAAAAATGCCCAAAAAATGTCACCGAAGTGTGTTAAACTAATTTGGATTATTGAAGCAGGACACTAACTTGCTTTGAAATGAATGGCCCCTTTCCAAAAGCAAGCCCTGCTCTGGTCAGATCTTAAAGTGCAAAATGCCATCCTGTTTAGGCTTCAGCTCCATACCCTATGAATCACTTCCCCATCTTCAGAATTACAGATTCTACCATCTCCATGCATCTTCAGAACCCGACTGCCCACACTTGATTATAGGAATCTTATTAGAGAATTCTCTCACCAAGGCTCTCTGCTGCGTGTTCTTCCCCTGATTAAAGGCCGCACTCTTAATAATTTCTCTCAGAAATAATTGCGGTGCCACGTCAGGAGGAAGAGACTGCTTAAGCAGTTACAGCAATTGCAAATTTAGCCCTCTTGAAAAGGCTACAAGAAACTGTAAAATAATTAAAAAGAAAACGCAGGCAGAGACAGCACGACAGACTGACAGTGGCATTATCGGCCTCTTTAATGTCAAATCTGCTCCGGGCTGTCTCATTTCCAGGCCTTATTAACATGCTAATAAATGTATTACTCAAATATCATTATCTCAAAATGTGAGTAATTTGAATAATTTCTTTTGGTTCATCCCAATAGCTCCCCAAATTCCATTCATGTGGAGTCCACAGACTCAGAAATCTGAAGTTGGAATGTAAGCCTCCAGTGTCAGCCTGCTGCCCTTCTAAGCGAGCGGAAATTATAAACAGGAAGGTGGGTTCATCTCTGGAACTCGTAATTGATTTGAGATTAAATTGTTCAAAAGTGTCTCTGCCATTAAAGAACACACAATGTGCTGGCAATTAAAATAAGCAATCGCTTACAAAAAAAAAGCTGGGCAGATCTTTAAAACTAATCACATTGTGAATGGTTATTTGCTCATTTATTCAAGTATTTATTGAATCCATTTTAAGTCCATATTTTTGAGCCCGTATTGTTGAGCGTGAGTATTGACTGAACACTGAGTGTGGCCAATGTTGTTCCAAGAGCTAAGGCGTTTATTCAGCACTAAGGGAGGCTGATATCCCTCATGGAGATTACTACCTAAAAGCGGCAAGATTTATTTTATTCTTAACATGTTGTTACTATTATTGTTGGGGGGCACATGTACCACAGTGTACATGCGGAGCTCAGAGGATAACTTTCAGAAGTCAGTTCTCTCCTTCTACCGTGTGGGTCCCTGGACTGGACTCAGATCATCAGGTTTACAACAAAGGCCTTTACCCACTGAGCCGTAATCACACACACACAAATGTCACCAAGCAGGTGTCATCAGCACTGTGAAAGATGCAGCAAGAAGATGCTCGGACATCGAGGTGACGTCCCAACCCCACCGCTATCTACAGGAAGACTTGAAACCACCCAGGCAGTACCTGTCCCCAGGGCTGTGGCACTCATAAACTTGAACTATTCGGCCATGCAAGTATCCCACCATTTTCTTGAAGTCCCTCTTGTACACTGGTGCACTGTCTGAGGGTCCCTTCATTTGTTACTGATGTGTGACTGTTTATGTAACCTCTTTAGGAGACGGGATGGTGCAAATCGGTGGCAGGAAGGGTCTTCAGTCCTCTCAGCAGAGAAGATGAGCCATGCTGGATGCTGACGGCAGCCAGGAAGGAATGGGAAGGCCAGAAGCTGGTGGGTGGTTGGAGAGCTGGCAGAGATAGCTTCAGCCTCCAGTTCTACCAGCAGGAGGGACCCAAGAGAGGACCAGAAAAGTGCATTTAGCAAGGGGAGCCTCTGGTATTTCTGTTCTAATGCAATCTTTGGAAAGTTCTCCTCAGAGTCATCATGAGTCTTTTCTCTCTAAGGTCACTTTCTTGGC